CTCCGCCCTCGCCAAGGCCCTCCGCGCTCGCCGAGCCTCATATCCATGCGCACGGGCGCGCGCCCAGCGCACCGAGGGCCTGAGCCGCAACCCGTCGCGGCTGCGGCCGGCGCTCGGCTGGACCTCGGCATACTGTCGACCGGCTGGAATGATGGCACAAGACGATCTGCTCGGACCGAACCCGCCTCGGCTGACTCAACTTGCCAAGCGACGGGACAAGTGGGTTCAAGATATCAAGTTTATCCGAGCAATTATCTGCTGCGATTATCTGTTTGTCGAGCGAGCAGCCTTGGCGTCTCCAGACGGACGCCTCGCGGTCCATTTGCCAAGTGCTCGGGCCGCGCTCATCTCCATAATGGGTGGCTTTAGGTGGCTATCAAGGAGGTTGTATTAGATGGCCAATGTTAATCTGATTGTACGGGGTTGTAGAACGCTATTTGAAATCTGGAAGTCTGTATTAAAGAAGGATGAACGAAAGGAGTTCCTCTCGTAATTTCCAGTAAAACCTTCTTCATATTAGTCCCACTGATCTTCTCTGATTTTGTTTGATTAACATTACCATGGCTTCCCGCTGCTTACACCTTCTTCCTTGAAGTGCCTGATTAAGATATAAATACAGATCGGAGTGTGTGGATTTCGGCGCCCGCCTGCATGAGAATGTGCACAGGAGGCCAGGCCGCACGCGCCAAGGCCACACGGCGCCCATGCCACTAGCGCCGGCACACGCTGCTCCGAGTCCCCGCGCAGTCGACGACCCGGAGGACGACGCCCCGCGGGACCCGATGGGCGCAACTCGGAGCCGCGAAAGCAGGGGGACGGGCTGGAAGCTTAGTCGTCTAATATGCCAAACGAAAACATCCGCCATTATGGCCAAACCCCTTGCTATATGATACAAAAATTACGGACATAATAATCCAACATTCTAACGACGGCTGCACTCACCGCGACACCCTCGCCACGCACGCCCTTCAGACCATGGCGTGCGCCCCCAGCAGGCGTTCCTGAAGACTAACGCTTCATGAGATCCAGCCTGGTTTTCGCTCTCTCGCGTGGGCGGTGGAACCATGTGGGTGATGAGGGCGTGTGGGAAGCCAGGCGAGCGTCCATGGGTTGGAAAAAGGGCGTGAGTGGGCACTGCCCTTGAGTGACGACACGGCCTTAATGAGGGTCAATTAAAGCCATTTGTACTTGGTAAATAGTTCTAGGATGACATGTGCACATGCGTGAAAAGGCCTCGTGGGTGGCGCAGATAAGTGGGTGGTAATAGGGCAGATTATTTCAGAAACAATTGGGAAATGGGTGGAATCAGAAGCTCGCGTGTGGGTAGCGCTTGGCTTCGG